CTTAGTATTTCTGAAGCACATACTGAAACTGGCAGCAGGATATTTCATGCTTGCTTTCTATTTATTTTCATTGTCTTTGTAGTTTGTCTTGGTAACTTCTGTGTCTTATAAAGATATAAGACAGTGTGGAAGAAAGTGACTCTGCAATCAAAAAGTCTATGCAGGGGCACCTGGGTGGCTCAGTCAGTTAAGTGTCCAACTGTCCAACTCTTGATTTCAGTTCAGGTCTTGATGTCACAGTTTGTGAGATTGGGCTCTGTGCTGACAGAGCAGAGCCTGCCTGGGATTTTTCTCTCTCCCTGTCTCTCTGCCCCTCCCCTATGTGCTCTCTCTCTCTCAAAATAAATAAATAAACATTTTTTTTTAAGTCCATTAAATCACTTCTCTTTAAGCCCATATCCTTCACTGAATAAATGTATAGATTGGGTGAGGAGTTCTCTTCTAAATTCTTTGATTCTTGGTGCTTTTCCCTTCTGTTCCCTTCCCTTCTTGTGCTTTCCCCTGCTTTTTACTTTCTGCACAAAAAGTAAGAAAGTTCTCCTGTTGCTTTCTAAACCTCACTTTTACATTAACTCCCAGTTAGTAACCCACACCCTAAGTGCACTCACCATCTTACCTATCTTGATTTTAACACTGCAATTACTAATTGAGGGTTCCACTTAATGAGGTACAATCTACTTTCATGTGTAGATTTTCTAATTAGTGGTTAGGTTAATAGCCATATTTTAGAGGTCCTTATTTTACTTGAAATTGCCATGGTTAGAACATGTACAGCAAGTCTCACCAGTCTGTGTCCATCAGATGACAAAGTCTATTATAAGTTATGACTTTGCCAGAATTATGAAGATGTACCTACTTTAAGAAAGTACCATGCTTGGAAATCTAAGTTTTAAAAAAAGTTATTACATTAGGAATAATCATTTATCTGAGTAATCAAACATCTCTCCAGAATACAAAAGAACCTTCAAAATCATATGCACCTTGGATGTTGAGATATGATTTGGCTTTTTCACAGCCCTGAAAGAATGCTCTAGTGCTTAAAATATACCATAGTTGCAAAAATAAGTTTAAAATGGATTAAGAACTTAGTGTGAGACCTGAAACCACAAGAGCCCTAGAAGGGAACACAGGCAGTAATTTTTCTGACATCAGCTATAGCAACACTTTTTTAGATATGTCTCCTGATGCAAGGGAAATCGCAAAATAAATTGGGACTACATCAGCAGAGCAAAGGAAACAATAAAACTGAAAGGCAACCTATGAAATGGGAGAAGATATTTGCAAATGACATATCTGATAAAGGGTTAGTATCTAAAAATATATAGGGG